TGGAGTAAAATTACATAAATTTCGGTGATTATCCAACTGTAAATAAAGGTAATTTTCATATGCATTGCAACATGGACAATTTTCAAAATAATCTGAATAAAACGTACATGCAGGTTAAACTTGTAGGGAGATGAAAGTTACCGAGGTCTGCCTTATTACGACGGCACTTGTCAAATTGCTAACTCCATCACTTTGAAATTCTGTAACATCGCACACATGACTACTTTCAGCCAACTATTTACCTTTTTTTAAGGCTTCAGAGTTAAAACAAATGGAGAGGGTGATATTCCTAAAGCCTGTTTTTATGATTATATCCATTATCAGATGAATAAATATAATTACTAAAAGTGTGCATCGGTGTATGCTGTTGACGTATAATGTGGGTACCCGCGGTTGCATGATTTTGACACCAAGGGTGGCGCTGCATGACATGTACCTGGCCAATACCTATACCTACTGCACGGTATATGTTGTACACGGGACTCGTGACGCGCGGATATTGCACGTATGGGGGGATCAAGACAAGCCGGCAGAAGGATTCGTCGTGTCCTCGAAGGGGATGTTATCGTCCGCCCGAGCAGCATCTCTCTTTTTTCTTTTTCGCTGTCGTACCTCTATATATATATGTGCGAGGAGAAAAAGAGAGTGGGAACCGTTCGCTACATGCATAGGATATAATGCAAAGCGCAACCATCACCTTCTCCCCTGTGTGTGTGTGTGTGTGTGTGTGTGTGTGTGTGATGCTTGCCCCGCTCGTCCCGTGCGCGCGTGCAACTACCGCGGAGCGTATAATATACCTATACTTGCGCGATAGGGCGCGCGAGATAAAACTGGTTTGGCGTTTTGTTACTCTCGAAAGTATCGAGGGAGAGAAAGATCCCCCCCCCCCACGAGAAAACAACCTCATGCCCCGTGCGATGCTGTGACTAGACGTTATTTGTACTCCGTAAGTATATACGACAGCCCTATACGGATGCTGTCACCTATATCGGCTCAACTCTATATGTATCTACCGTTTATTATTGTATACTACTACTACTACTACAAGGAATGTGTCACTTTTGAAAAACAAACTTAATACTTGTACCTCAAATGGAGGCGTGGCTTAAAACTACCTTGTGGGTGTATAGAGGGAAAGATTATGAAAGCCGGTGTTTTGCACTATAAGTACATTAGGTATTCGCTGTATTGTGTGGTGTACCTAAGTATACATACGAAATATTTGTAATGTACGACAAAACTGCGGTATCACGTCGCGACGTCAGTGGACAATGTGCAAAATCGTTAACGGAAGCTCACGGGGGATTAGGACAGCATAAGAAGATAACTCTGCGGTATGTCGATGATATATTGTATTCTGCATTTAAGAAAAACAAAATCCCCAATCGGGATTATAGGTATATGCCTATGTTATATACCCGCGCATTACCCCTCCGTGAAATTCCACGAGCGTATACCAAGGTACATACTATACGTACGCTTGTGCTCGCGCATTATGGAATATATATTTTTCTGGTATACCCACCGCGGAGTGCACGCAACGAGGGACGCTTTTTCCGCGCACTCTTCTTCTGCGAAACTAATTCCCGCGTCCCATGCGGTATATTGTATTACCCACGTGCGTGCGCGCATATTTATAACATGCGTCCCTTAGAATCATCCCTGGTAATCAGCTGCAGTGTGCCTATACGTACCTACCTACATACGTTACAACATATTATATACAGCATAGCAGCTCATATATTATCTATGTACTAGCTGTGTATCGGCAAGGCCGCGTATAGCAGTTGGGCCCGGGGCTCGTTAGAGGGAGGCGTTATTAATTTTTCCTCCCTGACAAGCCGCTACGGCTAAGCTTGATTTGTTGGTTGGTCAAGCGCAAAATAATAATAATAATAATAATAACGAGCCCCTACGCGCCACAGCGGATAATACGCTCTCTCGCATGCGGACCGAAAAGGGCGAGTGCTGTACTTACATGGCTCTCGTGCGCCTTACTTTTGTTGTACCTACATCTGCAATGCACCTATAATATATTATATCGTGGGCTTGGCACGGCTACGGCTATTCTCGAGACTGCGCTTATATTTTATTATACTCGCACCTCGAAGGTATGCATTGTGTATATAAATACCTTGTACCGAGAAACAAATAGTTGTATAGGTGCACGCATTGGTGCATATATATAAATGTATAATATACGTGCACGCATGCGGGCTTTGGTAAATGTATTGTCACTGCCGTGTGATCTGATAAAAAAGGAGCTGTGTGGAGCACAATTTTTCGAAAAAGATCCGATAAAACTTGCAAAAGCAATCAGAAAATTAAAAATTTCGTTGGAAATGGTGCGATATGTAATGAAATTTGAAAGAACAATCATATAAAAATTCAATGGGAGACTAGTTCTGACGACAAGTAAAATGGCTGCCCTCCGACAGATACAGACAGACTAATTATTAAAAATTGCGCAAGCATCGTACCATCACGATATGTGGTTGGGCCGCTATCTCGATATCACCCGGTGGTCACCGCGCATAGAAGGACAGACGGCGCGGCAGCTGTAACGCAAAAGTAAACACGAAGCGAGGGAGGCGCGCCCTTTAGAGGCAAAACCTAGAGAGGGATCTTAAATAGTTTCCCTGTCCGCGCCGATCGGTCTCCCGCGCGTCACTTCCAGGAACATCCCGAGGAGCCGTGTATATATCCCCCCTCTTGGACGAGCAAATAATAATGATGATAAGAGGGGGAAGAAGAGTCGAGAGGAGGAAGAGAGAGAAAAAGGCTGGAGGTACGAGCGAGGAAAATGAGGAAGAGTCTCTACTCTCTCGCTCGGTGCAGTGTATATAATATATACAAGGGGAGCCTCGACTCCAATGTACATGTATAGCTGCTGCCTCCGTGTAATTTCGCGCTAATTGCTATCCTCGCTCCTCCTCGGTGCCTTTTTTCTTCCTCCTCGTTCCTCTGGCTTTTCTTGCCGGCTGCGCAGCTATAGCTCCTGAAAACGAGAGAGCGGACACAAAGCCAAAGTATAGACGGGGGGGACCGTCCGTAGTACCAGGAAGTCCCAGGAGCGGCAAAAACGCGGCCTCGGTGGCTCTCGATTTTCAAGCCTCGACTCCAATGTACCGGCATCGGAACGAATGGCGGTAATCGGTTGGCGATCGATCCCCGATGATATCGCCCGCGTGTTATATACGGGGCTGACGCTCGTCGCCCTCGTTTCCTATACGAGTTGCTGCGTGGCAAAGGCGCGTGCGGCGCTCGGGCCGAAAAAAAAAAAAAAAAAAAAAAAACATTCGAACTCATTATAGCGCGAATCACCCCAGGATGAAAAGGCGATCTCCCTTTCGCCGAGTAATCCCCATTTTTTACCCACCTTTTTTTTGTTTTTTCCCCGCACCCGCGGAGAATCTTCGTGTTTTTTTTTTTCTTCTTCGCCGCATCGCGCGCTCACTCGGCTTTGATTTAACGAGCCCGCGAGCACACACACTCGGGGAGCGGATGCGGCGGGGAAAAACGAAGAGAAAACAACAAGCGAGCGTGAATATCCTGAGGAAATTGATTTTTTCTCTCCCCCTCCGCCATTCCGCTCGCTCGGATGCACGGACGCGAGAATCGCAATTTCCATTTAATTTAAATTTCACGCGCGCGCACCCCATTAATATATACGAACGAATCGGCGGGTATGATTCCGGAAAAACGAGCGCTACGACTCAATCCTGACGTGCGTATCGGATATATACCAGATTACAGCGATACGAATAGGGGGTAGGTTGTGGGATCATCGGCGCCGATGAAACTATTCCCGACCGGAAGTACATATACCTGCGATCCAAGAGCTAAAGGAGAGTGACGGGCCACCTGTTGGGAGCTATATACTTTACCCGTGCATATATATATATTATATATACATGTATATGTACAGAAGGGAAATCGATGGGTACGGGACTGCAGGGAAGGAGCTGTCGGTGCCAGGTGCACTGATTTTCTCCTTACTTAATCGGAATCGAGGTGCTCGAGGCCAAAGGAAAGAAAAAGGTACCTATAATGGCCATTGGCAGGAAGTGGGCCCTCCGTAATATATCTGACGCGGAGCTAACGAGACAATTGTTTTCCGATCCACGCGTGTATGTACTTTCGATGCTCCAAGCAGTTCTGCTTGTGGTGTCTTTGGGGGGGTCGAAGCACCTTGTAATACTTGCGCACTTATATCTTTGGGGACAAGCCGATCACAATTACTGAGCGATGGTTCTTTTTTTTTTCTGTTTCAGATGTACTTGAGGAGAATCAGCCCCGTTGCCTCGGGATGCCTAGTCCTGGCTGTCTTGGTAGCTGGTGCCGTGGCCGGTGAGTAACCCGAACCAACGTTTTTTTTCACTCGCGTACCGAGATCGGTATCTCGGGACAATCGAACATTACGGGATACACGAAAAAATGTATGTATAACATATGGACAACGCGCGCTACTACACGATATTTTCTTACGTCGGCTGTCGATTGCAAAACCATGCACCGCTACAGAGTAACACATATTATACTCACGGCCCATTGTATGGAGATGCGAGGGCTGCCTTCGATTGTTTTCAGCCTGATATATATTATATATATATATATATACACACGAGTAGAGATTTTACGTCTAGCTAGTCCGAGTGAACGCATATTACATTATCTGCCGAATAAGTTTTCGATACGCGATATCGAGTGGTGATAATGTGCCGAAGTACACAACGTATAACTGACGTTGAAATAGACGAGAAACGAGTGGCCTTCAAAGGCCAAAGTATTCATCACACGGTATAGAGTGTATATATATATACAATGGTGTATGAGACCCACCCACGACGTTTTCAGCCCGGCCAGCGTTCGAGAAGCTGACGGACTTGGACTACCGCGGCACGACGTACTACAGCGTGCGCAATCAATCGCTGTACAAGTGCCAGGAGTGGTGCCGCGAGGACCCCGAGTGCCAGGCAGTGGCCTTCTCGTTCGTCCTTAATCCCTTGGCCCCGATGCAGGACACCCTCTGCCAACTCCAGAACGAGACTGCCGCCACCAATCCGTCCTCCCAGCCACAGAGGGTCGTCAACATGTACTACATGACCAAGCTGCAGATACGCTCGGGTGAGTATACTCTCAGGGAACCGAGCCTATAGGTTGACTATGACGCATTTTTTTTTTTTTTTTTTTTTTTTTTTCATACCAATCAGTATACGGTACAGTCGAACAGGGTTATCAGTTTTAAGTGTAGTGAGAACGGAACCGATTCGAGCCCAACTCGATGGGTTGTTTTTTTCTTTTTTCCACGACAACTCGTCAAATGCTTATCCCATTTTTGTGTGTGTGTGTGTGTGGGTGTACATAGGGAAAGGCAAGCGCGTGACTTTTGAAACTTTGATGGATCCCGCGTCGGAAAACCCAAGAGTGCGGTCGAAGCGCGTAGACGGCGCGGCGCGGCTGCCAAAGTCAAAAGCCCCGAGTATACCAACAAATTCAAATTTCACGAGGGATCAATCGCTCAAAGCCCGCCATCGGCCAACACCCCGGATGGATATATATGTATACACGCGTGTAGCTCAACGGCAAGCAAGCGCCGAAAAAAAAAGAAGAAATTTACGGCCCGAAAAGAGTATGAAAGTAACGGAGGAAGGGAGGGAGGCACGCAGCCAGTGGAAGCGGCACGTTTTCTCGCTCGCTCCCTCTCTGTCCCTTGTGAACCCTGAGGTGGGCCCGTGAGTCCCCGAAGGGAGCGCGAACAATGGGACCCCGTAAAGCCAAAGGTTGTACTACCTGCGAATATAAATGGCAGCCGGTCCAAAGGAGCGCGCGAGGGGATGGGGGAGCGCCACTGCACAAATAGCTGGTGGATACATCTGTGGGAGTGCTGTGCGTAAACTGAACAACAGGTCGGGTCCCCTTCCAACTCTCTCTCTCTCTCTGGTAGCAAGGTGGACGAAAAAAAAAAAAAAAAAAAAAAAACAGGATACACGGAATAGGCGAGCCTATATGTATGCACATACATAGAAAACTAGTGCCCTGTGTGCCGTTGCTGTCCCACCGAGGTGTCGAAAAGATGGAGTGCACCAGCAAAGGGGAAAGGACCCTAATGCTCCTTTAACAAGTCGAGTCGACGTTTACGCTCTACCTACCTAACCGAGAGGCACGTGTAGACGAACATTACATATAATATATAGGTACGGACGATCGCAGTGGTGCTCCGATGCGTGCACAGGTATATATATAATAACAACAATAACGACCCAATAGAGGTTTCCTCTTTCCCGCGATGCATAGTGGTATAGGTACGTGAGTTATAGTGGAGAATCTCGGAGCTGCACGGGGGGTGGTCCCTCCGCATCTGTACAACCTGCGCGCCCCACCGTACACACATACGAGCCCCGCCACCGAAAACCTTCTTGGATTTTTCACTCCTCCGCCTCTCCTCCTCTATTTTTCTACGATATCCGATATATATGTATACACCCTCGCACCGCTGCAGCTCCTTTTCCGGGGAGATTCTCGGAACGATCCAACGCCATTGTACACGTGTACATGTAGGTATATGTTTACGTGAATGGATCTTTCGGGGCTTCGAGTGTTCCTTGTTCTCGGTATATATATATACGAACGGGGCGTCGTAATCGCGTGGTGCCGAGATTCGGACTATCGATTCGGGGGTACACCTACAAGCAAACGCGTGATTTCGTGGACGCAGCCCTGGATTATTATTATTAGCAGCTCTTTTTCTTTTTCTTTTTTTTTTTTTTTTTCCTTCAAAAGACCATAGCTCCCGCCTTTGTTCTCGCGGCTCGAGAGCTGAAAAGGCGCCGAGGAGCCAGGCTGCTTTGAAGTACACCCGGCCCGCAAACGACAGAATAAACCCTTGATACCCTTATACACTGCACGCATATACTTTTCCTCAAAAATATAAATATACACCCCTCGTCTGGATTATACCCTGTGGCATCTCCGTGCGTCGATCGATAACCGTTCGTATACATGTATATGTATATACATATGGCAGAAAATAAACAAGCCGATGCGCGGGTATGTAGTTTATATAGAACAAAAGGGCGATGACGGGATCCCCGGGAGGACAATTCCGTAGGTATACGCGTGGTATATTTACATGGTGCGCCGGAGCGATAATTTGGAAGAGAGATGTCGGGCCGCGCATCATCGGTTGGTTGTACACGTAGCGCGTGCTCTCTCGAGTCCCTATATAAAAGGATTATCGCGATCCCCGGGATTTAATGCCCCGGCTGTAAAGCCCCCCCCTCCACTTTGGATCTAACTGTTTCCCCGAATGGCACGTCCCGTAGGTGGGCTCACCCTAATAAAATAAGCCCCGAGCAAATTTTTCCGGAGATCCTCTTACGGCCCGTCGGGGATTATCCGTCCTAGCGCCGCGCCCGAGTTGTGTGCGTCCCAAGGTGAAAGCCAAACCAATTATGTATACCGCGCTCCCCTTCCCTATATACCCACCTTTTCTCCTCGTCCTCTATATATATTTTTTTTTTTTTCTCCTCTCTCCGGCCAAAAAGGTTTTTCTTCCCTCCGTGCGTATGTGTGCGCGTCCGCCGCCACTTCCGAGCAGAGCTGGAATTTACGCAGCTGATGTACAACTTGGTTAAAATAATATTATACCCCTCGGAGAGGTGCTCGCCGCTTCCGGTCGATCGTTTGTTCTCCTCAGTGGAGGAATCTCTGGTATTTCCATTTCGGGAGATATTGTAAAAACGTCCCACCGTCGTCATGCGTCTCATTAACCCGTACATGGCCCTGGATGACGCGGGGCATTGGAGAAACCTCCACTGGCAGGCTAATCGGTCCTTTGTATCGCTATCGGGAGAAAAAAATTAATCATTTAGCTGCTTGTGTACATAGTGATTTTGAATAACCATCGCGCCGCGACATTACAAAAGAAAAGCCATGGCATAGAATATACATAGAGGGGTCGGGGCCGAGGAGGGAGAGGATGAGGAAAAAAAAAAAAAAAAAAGGTTTTGGGAGCAGAGAGTGCGAGAGGCGCCGAGAAGTCTGGGCCGCGCAGCTACCGCACCGCGCGTATATATACAATGGGAGGGGGGCTGTATATATATACACCAGAGCACGCGTGTGTGTGTTGTATGTAGCACTATGAAGGCGTTCCTGAATCATGCAGGCGTTCGATCACGGTCGCGCGCGCAGTTGCGGGCCTCCCAGGGGTGGAGGCTACATACATGGTATATAGCTTCCGAGAAGTATCAACTTGTTGTTGGCTATATCCGTTGAACGATGACCTATTCCTGTACGCGTGCGCGCATCGATACGTTCCGAGAAATCGAGTTATAATTAACGCCTCGTAAATATATATATATACACACGAGTAGAGATTTTACGTCTAGCTAGTCCGAGTGAACGCATATTACATTATCTGCCGAATAAGTTTTCGATACGCGATATCGAGTGGTGATAATGTGCCGAAGTACACAACGTATAACTGACGTTGAAATAGACGAGAAACGAGTGGCCTTCAAAGGCCAAAGTATTCATCACACGGTATAGAGTGTATATATATATACAATGGTGTATGAGACCCACCCACGACGTTTTCAGCCCGGCCAGCGTTCGAGAAGCTGACGGACTTGGACTACCGCGGCACGACGTACTACAGCGTGCGCAATCAATCGCTGTACAAGTGCCAGGAGTGGTGNTATGTATATATATATATTTACTTATGCCCTATCGAGAGGACTATAATAAATAGTATATAGGAGGTACTTATGGCACTTTGATTTCGTACGGAAATGGATGCGTGATCGGTGTTGTATAGGGGATGAGTCAGCGCTGATGCGCACAAGTTTAGCGACATCCGCACGCGCGCGTAGCATTTTGAGCGCGTAGTATATACATGAGCTGCATGTTGAAGGAAACGATTTACTACTAAGTGGTTGTAGTAGTACCTTTGGCAGGAAGTAGGTAGTTTGCTTTTTTTCGTAAATTTTACGAAAGGTATGGAATCTTTGGGTCAATTGGGAACCCGCGTTTCAAAGGATCTCTTATACCAGTGGAAAATTATTTTTTTGCCTAAACGTTAATCCATTATTTCAGGTAAGTGGAACTGCATTGTGTTCTCAGAGAAATTTTGCGTGTAAACGCGGGGATCGTAAGGGAATGAAAATGGCCCGTAACAGTCGTAGCTCGGTTGGCTGGAAGATGATATTATGTACAATGTTACGGGGCACGTAAAAATTATTATTATCACATTGGTTTTTGGAAGAACGTAAATCATGTTACTTAATGGGTCGTATCGTCACAATTTTGTGCAGAATAATAATATATTATATTCGACTGTACTATGTATGAAATTGAAAAAAAAAAAAAAAAAAAAAAAAAAAGTGTTAAATNATGTTACTTAATGGGTCGTATCGTCACAATTTTGTGCAGAATAATAATATATTATATTCGACTGTACTATGTATGAAATTGAAAAAAAAAAAAAAAAAAAAAGATAAAGGTAACAAAAATTTCGTACGACTTTCACAGACAAGCTGTGCAAGCGGCCCTGGGCGTTCGAGCGGGTGCCGAACAAGATGATCCGTGGCCTCGATGTCGCGCTTATCTACACCTCGACGAAGGAGGCCTGTTTGGCCGCGTGCCTCAACGAGCACCGGTTCATCTGCAAATCCGTCGAGTACAATTACGTGACTTTGCAGTGCCATCTGAGCGACTCCGACAGGCGCTCGACCGGCCAGTTCGTCCAATTCGTCGACGCGCAGGGCGTCGATTACTTTGAAAATCTCTGTCTCACAGGTAAGTAAGCGAACCATATTCCATACCGAAAAAAAAAAAACAACATAAAATTCATTCGGGACGAAGCACCCGCTGCTGTTTTGCATGTTTTCCTGGGTCGTTGGCTCTTTATTGTTTTATACTTTCGTTTTTCACGCCCCCCCTCCATACAATAGAACATACCATCCAAAGCTAACGGGGTTTTTTTTACCCAAAATATCAAAGAGCGGGAACGTCAGCGGCAGCCGGAGGAGAGGGGGGCAATAACGCTTTACGAGAACCGTAAAAACGAGGGGTTTTGTTTTCGAGGAAAGTCGCGCCGTAAAGAGATACAAACAGCACCTATTTTTTTTTTTTTTTTTTTACAAACTCTGCCCTGTGGCCGAGGAATCCGGTACTCGCATACTATACAGCACCCAATACCGTATATTACTTCCCGTGGAAATAAAAATTCTCGAAAAACAAAGGGGCCCCTCCGTGTGACGTATTACGGACCTAACGTTACTTTATACGATTCGCAACAAAGCCAATGTATATAAAACATTAACTGTACGTGTGTTTGATGATGAAAAAAAAAAAAAAAAAACAGGCAAGGAGGCGTGCACGGGACAGCGTCACTTCCAAGTGCCGAGGATCGGAGTGGCCGAGGACAAGGTGGCCCAGTACGCGGGACTCAACTACTACGTGGACAAGGAGTTGCAAGTACAGACGGATCCAGCTTGTAGGATCGCCTGCGAGATCGAGACCGAGTTCCTCTGCCGGTCGTTCCTCTACCGCGGCCCGCCCATCGGCCAGGCGTACAATTGCCACCTGTTCCACCTCGACCACTGGACCCTGCCCGAGGGACCCTCGACTTACCTCACCGCCGAGCGGCCCCTCATCGACAACGGCGAGCGCGTCGGCACCTACTACGAGAACTACTGCGAGAGTCAGTTTGATGATTTTTTGATTTTTTTATACTCGTGTATAAAGTACACTTACTCGGCTTTTATCCTCTTCCGCGTGTTTACATGTTTATTGGTTATATTATGCCAACGTGTATTATATATGGGGCCTCATTTCCGTTGGTGTAAATTCACCGTCCGTTCGAGGGGCAGCGTTGCTTTTAGAGCGGGTGAATTTTTCCGCTACTCGAGACCTGGTCCATATACGTATTGACGAAGAAGTGAAGAGGGACAAGGGAAACGTTTTCACTCACCTCCGAGAGGCTGCTTTTTGCATGACGATAGATCGATTTTGCATCTCCAGTTCATGGACAATTTCGCCGTACATTCCGAGTGATTCCGAATGTGTTGATCTTTTTTACATGTGTCCATAAGAATTTGGTTCGATCACCAACTTTCGAGTGAAAAACCTTGGCACTCACTGATTTCGCACGTCATGCAAGTGTGTAAAATGTGTTACTGTATACTGTTTCATCCCCTTGAATCATTCTCATGTCAATCATTGAAGGAAAACAATTGTTCAGTTCAATGGGAACTGGAGATCGGCGTTTACGAAACATTGTTTAACGTTTTTCAACGTTACGGTAATGCATTTCACAAAAAACTACAATTTCGACTTCATACGCTTGTATATACAGTGTAGACATATACGAGTCAGATTTTGACGCCGGAAATGAAAAATTTATTAGATAGATATGGGGTAAGAAGGACTGAACAACTTTCAGGTGCTGAATCAACAGTTGAATTGAGCCTCAAACATCTCTATCCCCGTGTTTTTTTTCTGTCATTGGTATACATATGAGACGCGCCCACCTATATGATGTATGACTCGAGACGATCGAAAACACACTTGCGCAACCGTATGTGTACGCGTGGAAATCCCGGTCGGAGCGGGCTCTTCTTTCCATACTATTTTTGTTTTCCGTGCGTCTGGATGCCATATTATTTTATCGAGGCACGCGCGCTCTGTTGACTTTCTTTTTTTTTTTTTTTCGTTTTCCTGCTCAGCTGGTCGTCATCGCTTATCAGCCGCTTCACCAAAACTGCATACGCACGGCGACTACGCATATATATACACCTTTATGATAATAACACGCCTCTCTCTCGCTCTTTTTTTATCATCGGCGCCACGAGCGATGACGTAATTGTGATTTTTCGACCATATGAGGCTTTGCGTGTTTCCCGTGCCATCTTGATCACGATGAGCTTTTCAACGGTGATCGGCAGATACACGTGGCGGAATTTTTTTGTTCCCTTAGCGAGTCTCGAGGGAAATGATGTACACACATATATTATTTAAATCGAACAATGTTTTATTTATGTAAGCAAGGACAAGTGAAAACTCGATGTTTTTTGTTTTGTTTTGGCACCCCTTGCAGAGAGCAAACTCGCCGACGTTCAACCAACGATCAATCACACGGTCACCCCGAACGATCAGCGATTCGACATCAATTGCGACAAAACTGGCACTTGTTACGATGGTAAGAACGAGTTATCCCGCATAATTATAATAATTTAACCACATTGGTGGTTGTGAATGATTTACGAGGCAATGATTTTGTGGTGCAGTGATCGTCGATTGCAAGGACACGCGCATCGCCGTGCAAGTACAGACGAACAAGCCCTTCAACGGTAGGATCTACGCCCTCGGGCGCTCGGAGACCTGCAACATCGACGTCAGCAATAGCAAGTTCTTCCGCCTCGATCTCACTATGACCGGCCAGGACTGCAACACCCAGAGTGTGGTGAGTATATTTTTTTCATTCATACAATGCCGTGTATGCATGCAATACACCCGCAAGATCGGTATGACAAAATAATGGTGTTCATCAGACGGGCACGTACAGCAACACCGTGGTACTGCAGCATCACTCGGTTGTCATGACCAAGGCCGACAAGATCTACAAGGTCAAGTGCACGTACGACATGTCCTCGAAGAATATAACCTTCGGCATGATGCCGATCCGCGATCCGGACATGATCAGCATCACCAGCGCTCCGGAAGCTCCACCGCCCAAGATCCGCATCCTCGACAACCGCGCCCAGGAGGTCGAGACCGTCAGAATCGGCGACAAGCTCACCTTCAGAATCGAAATACCCGAAGACAGTGAGTTTGTTTTTTTTTTTTTTTTTTTTTTTTCGCTCCGGATGCGCGTCTCGTGTACGCTTTATTCATCGCCTTTTCTTATTCAGCTCCCTACGGAATCTTTGCTCGCAGCTGCGTGGCCATGGCTAAGGACGCCAAGAGTACCTTCCAGATCATCGACGACGAGGGGTGAGTATAATATCCTGCATCGCCGGGACGGATTAAAATACTCGAAATGAGCCTTGATTGGCAGACGCGTGAAATGATTACTTTGCGATTTGACATTGCGCGAAAAGTATATCATTGAGTGTACGATTTTTTTTTTTTTTTTTTTTTGCAGATGTCCCGTAGATTCGTCGATATTCCCGAGCTTCACACCGGACGGCAATGCGCTGCAGTCGTCGTACGAGGCCTTTAGGTTCACCGAGTCGTACGGTGTCATCTTCCAGTGCAACGTCAAGTACTGCCTTGGACCTTGCGAGCCGGTAATTATCTCTCAATGGGATCGTTGCGAGTAGTCGTGCAATTGAAAAATTACATCGGCGCTCGTTTAATTTAGCCCTCACGTTGATTGTATTCATTTACGGCTTGTTGACTCGTCGATTCGACCGTGATAAAAAAAAAGGTTTTTTTTTTTCCAATTTGAATAACCAATCTGCGATATGACAAAAATTATCGTTGGTGATCCACTAAGGAAAAACAAACCGAACTTTCTGATTTTCTTGTTTTGCGAAGCAAACGCCGCGGCATGTGCCTACTTGAAAAATCAATACGGACGCAATTGTATACTGTAATTGGTGTAAAAAAAAAAAAAAAAAAAAAAAAAAGTGTTAAATGAACGACTGATTGGCAGGCGGTGTGCGAGTACGGCCGCGATTCTTCGGAATCGTGGGGCAAGAGGCGCAGAAGAAGCTTGGAAAATTCGACCGAGGAGAAAGCCGAAGACATGACCTTGTCCCAAGAAATCCTCGTTCTCGACTTTGGCGATGAAAAGCAGTCCCAGTTTTTGAAGAACGACGCGAGTATGGACTTCAACGAAGCCGGTACGTATGCACGTGTGTACTCTTGACCCCGTGTGAGACATACAGCAAAACGGTTTATGAAGAAAATCGAAAACGTATTTAACAAATTTTTTTAATAGTGAGAAAAAATTTCTAATAAAATAAAAAATTTTAGTAATACGTGCAACACGACCATTAATTATTAATTAAATCGAACTGGACAAGCAAAAACCAACTGATTTTCATTGTACGTATGTGCAGACAAAACCGTGACCATCGTCGAGCCGTGTCCCACAAAGACGTCGGTTCTCGCCCTGGGAGTGACATGCGCCCTTCTGATCCTCATCTACGTCTCGACAATCTTCTGTTACTACATGAAGAAATGGCTGAACCCCCGGAAAATGATGCACTGAGCAGCTGCACAGCTTCAAGCTCGCCGGGGGACGACAATCAACACCGAAGAAACAAAAATGACAAAAAACTAATCAGACTGCGGGGGAGGGGGGCGAGTTGATCTCTTTCTGATGCGAGTAAAAAACATTTTTGGGGGTGAAAAAAAAGGGGGGGTACGACACAGGGAAAAATGGAAAAAATGACACGTATACTATATTAAGGATGAGCATGGAGTGTTTCGAGGGAAAGGGTACAAGTGTGTATTGTACACGCGTCGGGCGCTCGGGCGACGGACCGTAGCTCGTTGTATGCGTTATCTCCAGCGAAAACGCTTAGGATGCCCTTGATGACTGCGCACCTACGGCAAAAAGATTGGAAATAATCGATACAGTGGCCTTCCGAGGGTTTTCACAGAAATTCACGGACAACCAGCCCCAGCGCCGTGACCCGAGCGTTCGATCTGCCTCGTACGTAATAATATATAAATATACACAGACGGGCAGGGAGAGAAAAAGAGAAAACAATTAGTGGCAATTTTTCTTGTCCCTATGCACGCATACTCGCTATATACATACTCACTTCGATCTCGCGCTCACCACTCTACGAGGACCCATTCTCTCGCACACACAATCTTTTTCATTACTCTATTTTTTGTGGCTACTTTTGATCGGGTTGCAAAAACACACGGGGAGGCTAGCATCAAAGCCATGGGCGACGGACGATGGCGGGGCAGTGTTAGCCAAAACAGACGCATTACATCTCTTATGGTGGCTATTTTTTTTTTTTTTTTTTTATGGTAATTACTTATAATATATCGTCATCTGATATGCTCAAACATATTGTGCTAAACAAGTTAAGCCACGCACATTGCCCGAGTCCCATGATGTATTTGATTGGCTTTCGCGTCAAATAAACAAGCAAATGAATAATAATCGACGGTACACGTGTAACCTGCATCAAGACTAGCTATATAAATACATTATACATATTTTAATAGTTGATCTCACTTGACTAACGTCTCAAGACATCACCATCATTTTAAAAAATAATAAAATGCAAAAATGACAACAACAAAAAAAAAACAAAAAAAAAAAAATTGTATCATCGTGTTTTTTTTTTTCTGTAGCACTTAAGGATCATTTTAGGTATAGGACATTAGTTGAGCGACAATTATTAAGTTAGGTGCATTTATAACTGTCATCATCGCGACAAGTATCGTATTAAGGTTCAGCAGTTAGTTTTTGTATTTTGTAAGCGGCATGGAATAAGAGTGTCACGTGCAACGCGAGTCTCGGGCGCGAGGCAATGGCTTCGTAAAGTTTTTTTTGAGTTTGTTTCGAAATCGACCAAGTTAAATTTTTTCCATAATTTTCAAGTACGACTACTTTTCTATAGAAATGTGAAAGCAACACGTCAATAATACACTATTGTCAGTTGCACAGTTCCACGGTTCCAGTTTGGAAATATTTTTCTTTTTATTACCTATATATGCTTTACTGAACAACCGCGCTCTTTTAAAACGTTCCAAAAACGTAGTGACGACAAAATTAACTTAAGTAATTCGATTTTTTCGTTATCAAGAAAGTGAAATAGTCTGTCGTAAGGCGCACGAGCCTCGTTGGGCGCGGACTGGATTTTTACGTACTCATATGATAATGATGATATTAAAAATAAAAAATCATATAAATAATATTAAGTATGATCCCTTTATTAAAAGCATGCAGAACTCGTAAATACGGAAAAGTGCCCAGGTGTTTGTTCAAATGCGTCCAGCACGCGCGTTTTTACGTGATTTTGCGTTCTTACGTAAGTATATATTCCACCTCAACTCTACATACTGTTTTCGTCCATTGTAGCGTATACAATCAAAAAATTATTATTTTTCACCGAAATTATTTTATATACACAGTTAAAAACATCCACTATGAATCGATGAGAGAAGAAAAAAAAAAAACAAAGAAAAACGTTGTCGTAATGTATATATACTGCATATAAAATTCAAAAATTTCGTATGCAGCGAAATTTTCTATAAATCATGAATATCGTATACATATTATTAGATAAATGTAAGTGTGTGTATTACAACCCATTAATGTAAACGCACAATTGTTTTAATAATTAAACGAATGATAAAAAGAAACAATATCACGTTTGCCGTTATTTATCTTCCTGTTGATTCTCAAACTTCATGACAATGTTATTTACGTAATAAAAACTCGAAACATTTGCGAATAAAAATCTTCCTAGAAACGTTTTCAATTGTGATGTACGATTTGAGGCACTTACAGAAAAAAAAAAAAAAAAAAAAAATCTGTATCTCCTACAACCTAATCCATGGATCCCAAACCACTTTCTATTGGATAAAACCTTCGTCACGTCACGAATTCATGAACAGCCTTTCTTTAAGCTAGAGAGAACACTACAAGTATGGTTATTTATTCATTTTACTTTCGGGATATTTTATTCAACTGATAAGTCATCGTGAGTCTAAAATACGTATCCGGTAGATCCCCTTTTTTGAAAAGTTGGCGCTAAGTGCGACAATAAAGATTGTACAGTTGCTTCACTTTCTTTACATATTTACAGAACAGCTCCCATCCCACTACGAACTTTGTATTTAATTTTTTGTATCTTCAATAATTATTTTTGTAATGAAAATGGCATGAAAAAATTCTGGGAAAAAAACTATAGTAAAAATCAAGGATCTAGATTCAGAAAATAATCAATTTGAAACTCATAAGAAATGCTGATTAAATTTTTCCATTTATCATTACAAGCATAGCCTAAGGCTGCGTATACATAGAGTCCTGAACTTCCAGGACCAGCCAGAAGCCCGTGTGAGTGCGAGTGAGAAACAAGCACATAATATACTCTCTTTGCCGTACTTACACGGGCATATGGGCTGGTCCTGGAAGTTCAGGACTCCGTGTACACGCAGCCTAACGGTCAAACCTGTACGTAGACATATTACTAGTTTTGTGTTATAATTAACGTATTGTTTTTTTGTTTCTTTAATTTTATTTTGTAAAGACATTCCATGTCGTGAAGGCGCTTGAGAAAAAAAAAAAAAAAAAAAAAATTATTTTTTTCACTGTTCGGTGAGAGAGCATCGTCTACAAATTTATCACCCTTCAATTCATCGAGCAGTTATTTCAATGAACGTCTCGAAGACAAGGAACATCAGCACGAGCTCGGAACAATGAATTTCGATCAAGCGGATTGCCTCTGGATTGTATAAAGTTGTTGTCACGTGTTCGTGTACAAAATAATACATACGGATGGAACAAAAAGTTACCAACAATTGTCCAATAGAATTGAATAGTAACGATGCATCAATGAACCGGTCATCTACGATGGATATATTATTTCGCAAACGCCAATATGAATTTAAACAAGTTGCCAAGAGAGTACAGCGTGAGAGCAACAAAAGCAGAAAACTCGGTCGGTAAAAGGCTCGAGTCGAGAGAAATCGGCCACCGGCATGAACATTGATTTTATGTAAAATGTCCTATAACTCAAGGAGGCAAGAATCGATAGACCATGTATGCGGACATGTAAGTATACGCTATCACGGCTGCTCGCTCGCGCACCTGCGTTACATATATGGCTCCATGGTTATAATATAGCACTGGTGTTAAAGTATAGGATACCAACTTATGCTAGCAGAGCAGAGAGTGGCAACGAGAGTTTTCGCAAAAACGCCTCGGATCGGAGGAGTAGGTATACCTACCATCGAGTGTATACAGTCGAGGGCGCGCGAGGGAGCCGCAATATAATAGTCGTGCTATATGTGTGGGGAGAGGGAGGCCTGGCAAAAGGGGAAAGAAAAAGGAGCAAAATTGAGAACGAGGAGCTCGGAAGAAGGCACACCGCCGCGTTTGCAAGAGTCGCAAGAAAGAAGGAGAAGGCAAACGTGCGCGGTCGTGAGAAAAGAAAGAAAAACACCGGAGCATCCTGAATCTCTGAGGGCAGTCCTCTCTCTCTCTTTTTCTCGAGAGCCGAGGGAGAGGAAAAAAAAGGACAGCTCTCCTCTTATGTCGTTCTCCGAGAATCCGAGAGAATCGACACGCTGAGAGGGATATAGCCTATGTGCACGTGCCTATAGATATACAGCAAGGGCGAGAGGGCATGTACGAAGGCGGCGCTGCGTCTCGGGCGTCGAGGGGCCGATTATACGGGGGAGATCCGACTCACTCGTGCAGCTTTGTACATAATATACGTGTGTGTGGGAGAGCGTCAGCAACAGCTCTTCGAAGAGGCCATGTGCCTGTGCCCTCCCGTCGATAAGATAAAAAAAAAAAAAAAAAAAGGTACTATATACTTACATGTTATATAAATATGTGTATACGAGCACACACGCGCGCCCGTAGATAGGTATATATGTATTTTACTGACACGTGCAATCAGTTTCTCGTATGCATGTCTTGTAAAAGTAATCTATATATTCGCTCTCGTCTGATGTACACACGTTTTTGCAAACATTGCCTGATGTATGTGTATGTGGCCGTGTAATTATTGTGCACGTACACAACGAAATCTACAAAAAAATGTCACGTTTAATCCCTGGAATTTAAAATAATTTTACTCGAGAATCACCTGCTTTTTGCCCGCACTAATTCGTCGCTTCACGTACTTATTAAGCTCGACTTTTTGAATGCTTGTTACTGTATAACATATGACGCACTAATACAGAGTACTTCGCACACCTGCTGCAGCCACGAAAAGTCAAAGTTTGCGCATGTCAAGGTGTCAATACATTAGGGGGTCGAGATACCTATATTCACAAAATAGTGTGAATGTTGCATCCCGATGAGCAGAGCGAGGGTAAAGGTAAAATTCTCACAAGTTGAACGCGAGAGTCGCATGTAAGTAAAAGAAATGCTTAGTGAGAGGTCATGCAGGGGTCAGCTTTCGGCCTTCAATAAATCAAATTGCTTTCGAGATGACTGTCATATTACCCACGATGCAGGACACTAAAATGTGGAACCCCCTTTCCCTCACAGGTGAATCGACAGTCACA